TATTAATGTTTCGGAGTAGCTTGCCCGAAAAAAAATAACAACAAAAATACATTAAAAAACAATGTAACAATAAGACGAAAATTATTGTCTTAACAATGATTTATATTGTTACGTCTACAATAAATTTACCTTGATTTATGTTGTACAAAACAATAAATTTCATGGTAAATGGAAATTTTACAATAAAAAAGGGGGGTTGTTAAGTATCTTAACAATGAAATTTTCGTGTTTTTCCCATATAATTTTTTTTCAATAACATTATGTATTATTGTTATTTTACTGTTGGTTGGCGAATTTATTGATTAAAAAAAATAACAGTGTACTTTAGAGTGTATGTGTTGGCTTGACAGATCTACTTTATCGACTTTAAAAATAAATCGAAAAAATAAAACATTGCCCCGGGAAGGGAAGGGGGTGGTATGTCTGTTACGGGTGGTCCTTTTTTTACTGGTTATGGATCGAGATTCGATCCGGAACTTGTGAGAAATGCAGGCCAACTCCCCTGCGCTCGATATCCCTAGGTCACGTCTCCTTGGTGGTTGAGCGTCGTTGATAAGTTAATGCATTCGACTGGAGAGAATCGCCCATGAAATATGCTTCCACCTGAGAGTTCTTTCCTGACATCTTCAAGTGGTGGAATTTTTTATTATTATTGTATGATTATTGACTGCACGGAAAAGGTCTTTTAAGCTTTAGAGAGGGTCTAGGATAAGATATGAGCGGACGCGGACTGCCTGGTTTGAGCCAAACGAACTGTCAAAGCCAGAGCCATACGAGCAGCGCCTATCTTAATTACATTGGCAGTGTTGCTGACCCTCTCATAGTCTGCATGCTTCAATCAGATTTATTTTTATTGTTCGTGAAGTAACCCACAATGAAAATACACCAATATTTAATGTAACAACAATTTTTATTGTAATAGAGTTGTTCATTATTGTTCATGATCGAATCATGTTAACAATAAAATAAATGAAAAATACGATAAAAATCATTGTAACAACATTTTATTATGTACATTCATTGTACAGCTAGGTAGCAGTTTTGCCGTTTTCGGAAGAGTACAACATTATAACAATCATTTTTATTGTCGACAATAAATATTAATGTTAGAGCATTGTTTCCACTGAAAATTTCACTGTATTTTATTTTTCGGGTGGGAAAAGCCTAGGCGTATTTGAAACGTTGTTGGAATGATTGTTTTGGGAAAATTTATGTTATGTACGCATGTATTAGCGAAGCTGGAGATAACTCCGGCGTGTTAATATGTGTCGTGGGTTCAAAGTTTATGTGGTTTATGTATACGTTTTGTCCCACACAGAGGCGTAGAGATCAGGTAGCATGCTTGGTGATCCTCTGTGAGACAAAACAGTTGCGGTGAGTTCAGAAGAGAAACGTTTTACCAACGCAAAGGATTGGTGTTGTTTCGAATCTGAATGAACCTGTTTTGGAAACTGTCGAGTATTTGCGGTGCATTTAGAAGAGAGGCAGTTAACCGACAATGAGGATTGGTGTTTGTTCTCTTCTATTTGTATCTGTTGGGTGTTTGGGGTTGTGTTCATTGTGAATCAGAGTTTCTTTTTCTCAATGGTGTGATGTAAAAGATTAGGAAGGTTTTAGCAGTAATGCCGTTTTGGGGAATTTTTGTGGTGTGTTATTTTGTCGGTATCGGTACACCAACCTTCTAAGAACGTCAAACAGCTCAATATTTTGTTGGGTGAACCTAAGTTTTTGTAAATTTAATTTTGTAAATAGTATATATAGATAACTCATGAAATTCTTGAATTATTTTAAGTATTGGGAAAATTGATAAGGAACCCGGATAATTTTAATATTCTTTTTGAAGAATAGTTTGAGGGAAATAAATCAGTATTATTTTTTTTCAACAAATACTACAGTTTACCATTACGAAAATTTGGTTTAACGCCTTAAACCAAATTTTCGTAAACCGCGCCTGGTGTAATGTAACGATCAGGAATTTTGTATAAATTTGTATATAATTTGATAATGTTAAATTGTTGGAATTAAATTCCTTAGGGTAGGCAGTAGGAAGACACAAGCATTTTTGCTGAAATCTTTCCTAAGACGGGTCCATTTAATTTATGGATAAGGTAGGAAAGGGACAGTCGTGCAATTAAACGAGCCAAGTTATCTTTCGTGTCTTTAGATTCACGATAGGACACGAAGGGTTTCGGGAAATGAATTGGAACATGTAAATAAATATACGTAGGATAATTAATGTTGGAACACCCGTTATGCACTAAAAATACCGCCTGAATAGTTCCGTAATAATAAATGTTTTCGTAAAATGTCCATCTCCCTAGCTTTAATTAATTGAATGTATTCGACATCACTTCGCGATCTCCGTTGTAGTTTTCGTGTCCCGTCCTCATGTTGAGAGTTTGAATGTTCGGGAGAGTAGTCCACTTCCAGATCGGGGCGACGTCTAGTGGCAAGTGACGAGACTGCCGATGATGATAAATTCTCTTTTGTAGAGGTTTTTAGGTATGGGTGAGCTCTCACCGACTCTCTGAGTGACTATCGTGTTTGTGGTTTCATGGAGATAATAGGGTTTTCCCGTTTTGGATTGCCTGATCCGAAATTGAAAGCCGGCTTGCCTGATCCGTAAATCCTTTCTAGGAAATTTAATGGACTCGCCCTTAGGAGAGTCTCAACCGGGCAAATTTACATTGGGCGTGTGGTCTCCCTTGTGGAGTGGCGCTTAAGCCACATGTTTTTAGAGACGGATCGCCCGGGCTGGCTACATACATTTAACCAATCAGGCTATCAAAATATTTGTAGTGCATTGATGATTTGTGGAGTTGTGTTAAGCTTAAATAAGGCTTGTTCAATCTTTAGATCAGCTTATGGGATACAATTAGCTTCATGCACTACTAATCAACTATATATTCAGCCTGCTGTTAATCAGCTTTGTACACCTTAAATCAACCAATAATCATTCTTACTGTTCAGCTTGAATTGTTACTTGGGTGCACAGCTTCCTCTTGAAGGCGTGTTAAATATTGTTAACACTTTTTTTGTTGGAGGAATTGATTGGGGTTATTTTGCTGTCAGAATCAAATTAATTGAAATTAGTAATAAGCACACCACCAATTATCCTGCACCGGAGAACCTGGAATCGAACTTGAGACGACCGTATTGGCAAACCTCGACACTACCAACTTCGCAGAGTAAAAGCTTTGAAACTACACAAGTCTAAAAATAAACCTAGTTGATTGTAAAACTGCTTCTAAAGTAGCGCTAACATAGTTTATTAGCTGAGTACAGGTTGTTTAGTTGTTGGAAAAGCACTTTTGATATATATGTTATTCAGCGTTCGTTGGTTCCGTAGAAGCCATACTTTATTAGATTTGTTTTGCAGCTACAAGTTGAAAGTTGATTAATATTTGCATAGAAGTGATATTAGCGTTTATTGGCTACTATTATCCAGTGCGACTGACAAATTGACTAATGATTGTGAAAAAGTTGAGTAAACGCTCTCCAAAACTCTGTTGCTAGCTTCTGCTTGTGGTTGTATCTGCAGCTTTTTTTCAGCTACTTTACAGCACAATGCTGGAAAAGTTGGCATATAAAGCTGAAAAGGTTAGTTAAGTAGTTCTTAAAAATTTTAAATAGAGTTTTCTCAACAACGTCATTTTTTATTATTTATCGAAGACACACCATTTATCTACAAGTCGTCAATACATCTCAAGATGGACACAAAGGAAAAAAAAGTAATGCACCATAAACTGTTTCATGTTTGCACTGAATGAAATCCAAGCAGGTGAATTTCATTCCAAGTGGGATAATTTCATCCAAACCCTTCCCAGATCAGGAAAAACATGGCTGCTTTTGCACATTCCCCAAACGAAAGGTAACATTATTAGGAATTAAATATGGTTCAATCCCAAAGTGAATGGTTTAGTGGTACCAACACCTTCTCATAAATAGAAAATAGTTTACTTTAACGGTTCCGTGATGGGCGCTTAAGGGTTAAGAAGCCTAAGAGCTTTCTTGTTGAAGATTGGTGAGCAACCTAGAAATCTCCAAAATTTGAAAAAACAATCATTATCTTTTTATCGCCGCAGTGAATATTTGCTCAACTGAAATCACGTTTATCAACTGATTCAGTTGGGATGGAATTTTTCCCTTTTAAGATACATTCTTCATAAATAATTATCTACATACCACGCCCCTCTATCAGTAAATCACGCTTCGTTCCGGCTTGTGTCATTACATTCTGGATTTCAGCGATAAGCCAGCTAAGTACAACAACTTAGGTACGTCCAGACTAAAGCACTTTCAATTATTACTACGAGCAAAATTCCATTCGGCGTCGCACTTTCCCGCCTTCAACGTAGGCTTTCACCGCGAATGGCGTACAGTAATCTTATCTGGAATACATTGATTGCACTTGAGTCCGATGCGTTTTTCTTTGCAATCTACGAATCACCTTCGACTTTATTGGAATTTATTTAGCATGATGCAACGGTTTATAACAGATTTGCGTTTCGTTATCATATTTCTGTAATGATAACCTTAATGACTGGTCGTCTGTTTTTTGTTTGTTCGTTTGGTTTGCAGTTTCGTGGTGTTTATTTTGACATTAAAAATATTTCTGGTCATGATTAGATTTCGTTATCATCGAAGGCAGACACGAAATGCGTTGGGCATGTATTCAACTCTATCCCAGTTTTTTTTCTAGTAGCAAACGTGTGTATATTAAGTCGGTGCGCGATTACCTCATCACATTCGATTTCCAAAAGTAAACAATCCCATCTCGATCACTTGCGGACAGACAACGTCGTTAAAGCTGCGTGCAAACGGCAGCCTACCTCTGCGCAGTCCACTTTGTCATGCCAATCACTTGCTACTTCTCTATTCCTCCGTCGCGACGTGGGGCCAGTCCAAGCGTCGCGTATAGCAAAATATACCCATTCCACACTCAGGCATCAAACTTGCGTGTGTTGGTATGATGACGTCTCTGCCGTCGTCTTCGAGCGCCGGTGCAGCGTTCGCTATCAGTCAGTCTTCACGATGGCGTCGTACGATCCTGATCGACGTGTCTGGGGCGGTCCGCGACAACCGTGCATCTTCAATCCGCAGTGTAACTTTGGCCAGATCGTGCTGAACCTGCTGGAGCGTTCGCCGGACAAGGTGATCCAAATCGATGGCGACACGGGACGGGTTATGACCCGGGCCGAGATGCGACTCCTGATCGTTCGGGCGGCGCAGCGTCTCCAGAGGCTCGGCTACGGAGTCGGGGATATCGCGTCGATTGTGGCCGTGAACAGTGTAAATTTGGCACCGCTGGTGCTCGCGCTGCAAGTGATCGGCGCCGGATTCAACGCACTGGCGCCGACGTTCGATGAAGATGAAATGGCGCACATGATGCGGCAGACGCAGAGCAAGTTGGTGTTTTGTGATGCCGATAATTACGACACGGTGAAGGCCGCGGCCGGCAAGGCAATCCAAGGCGATTATCGGATCTATGTGATGGAAGGTGCGGACGAAAGTCTGGCGGTCAATCAGCTGTTTGAGCCTACCGGAATGGAGCATATGTTCTAGTGAGTTCTCCTGGGGCGCCATTTGGATCTTAATTTGAAACGGAAAGATTATTGTTTGATGAGTTTGTTGTCACCATATTTCACAACTCTGGGGAGTGCGTCGTATTTTCTGACAAATTGAGACAAATCGCCGCTGCGTGATGGCATTGAACGTTTTGTTGAGAAGTATGTGACACAGTGTCGTAGCTATTTCAAGCTAGAAGAATAGTGAAGTGGTCAAAAAGATGAACAACCTTTTCAACTAAATTCGGTAACAGGGCATTGTCATTTGGTCAAATGATCGTATTAGTGGCAGATATAAAATGAGTTTATATTTTTTTAGAAAATTCTGTATGGGGCTGTCTATACTTACTAACAAATGGAGACAGTATTTTAAATATTCTAATGCCGCGGATACACTTGTATGACAAAGTATGAACATGAGCATTATTTGTATAATAAATTATGAGGACATCCATGGTCACACTTGTATAGTTTTTGTATAGTTGATGTACAGTGCTCATAATTATTATACAAATAATGCTCATGGTCATAGTTTGTAAGTATATCCGCGGCATAACAGTCCCCGTCCTTCTTCGAAGCAGGCAGAAATTAATTTAGTTTAGACTTGAATAGATTGCTATTTCCCGTGGATTTTCTGGAAACAAGTATATTTAAACAAAATCTGTAGCTATTTTTGTGTCAACAAAAAAACGGATTGAGAAAAGTTTTTCAGATCTCGATCCATCAATGTAAAATGGTTTAAATTCAAATGATAAGATTCAAACACTTTGCATTTCTACTGTACTCTAAAAAATGGAGCTAACTGACTGTAAACTTATTATCCAATGAGCCGATTGGTTCATTTTAGATTCTGGTTATTTCGATCTTGCGCAAAGGCATAAAAAGTGTATGTTAGGTTTTTTTTATGCTTTGTTCCTGGGTCGTTTTTTGGACTGATGTGCTACACTTGTATGGTATGGAATCAATCAATTACAGTTTTCTCCCGCCGCTAATCCGACAAAATCATGGCCGGACTAAAGAGGATATGACTCTCAAATCCATACTAAAAAATCAAAACAAACAGACATGCATGCTTACAGCACACATCTGAAAATTGACAGCACAATGTATTCAAACGCGTGTTTACACTTTTTAATCTGACATTTTCCGGATTAACGGGGTCCGGATTATTGAGTTGTCAATTAGCAAGTGTCCAATGAGTAACCAGCTCTGAAAACCGATTTTATTTTAATCTAAGTGAATTAGGCGCAAACATCGATATGTTTCTACTGTGTTTCTTTAATAATAGAAAATTAGAATTCTGTGCATCCTTAATTACACCAAAAAGCACTCAAAACTTGCAAAAGATTTGATTTTGAAGCAAAGTAAATTGCCATGTGACGTTAGCCATACATTTTCGGAGAATCAGTGAAATATTTAAACGATAATATCTGTTATCACATTATTATCTCACGGCAGTTCGGAGAAGATCCATGGCCATTCGGAAAATGAGGATCTTTAGGGAAGTATTGTGAACATCAGGCTGGTTTACCAAACTACAATACTACGTGGTATTTGACTTAATTGGTTACAACGTAGAAATTCTCAAGATCCTGACCAGATAGAAAGTTACTGTCTTCAGCAAAGTTGTTCAAGAGATCATAACCTTTTCGCTGGTGGAGAGTAGTTCAGAATATTCTCACTACGTAGCGCTAGAATACATGTGAAATTCTCGCATGTGATATATCTCGAGATCATGACCAGATAGAAAGTTACTGTCGTCGACAAAGTTGTTGATGATATCAAAGCCTATTTCTTGGTGCACAATAGTTCAAAATTTTCTCAATACGTGGCGCTATTATACACAAGAAATTCGCATATAAAATATCTCGAGATTCTGACTAGATGGAAAATTACTGTCTACGGCAAAGTTTTTCAGGAAGTCAAGATCTTTTCGTTGGTGGAGTAGTTCATAAAATTCTCACTACGTGGCGCTAGTATATACGTGCAATGTTCGCATATGCAATAGCTCGAGAACCTTACCAGATAGAAAGTTACTGTCTTCGGCAAACTTGTTCAGGGGGTCAAGCATTTTTGGCTGGTGGAAAGTAGTTCAGAATTTTCTCACTACGCGGCGCTAGAACACACGTGAAATTCTTATATAAAATATCTCGAGAACCTGACCAGATAGAAAGTTACTGTCTTAGGCAAAGCTTTTCAGGAGATCATAGCCTTTTTGCTATGCTGAACAGTAGTGCAGAATCTTCTCACTAGGTAGTGCTCGTATACATGTCAAGTTCTCGCATGTGATACATCAATAGATCCTGACCAGATAGAGAGCAAATGTCTTTGGCAAAGTTGTTCAAGAAGTCAAGATCTTTTCGTTCGTGGACAGTTGTTCAGAGTTTTCTCACTACTTGGTGTTAGTATACACATGCAATTCCCGCATAGACAATAGCTCGAGATCTTGAGCAGATAGAAAGTTACTGTTTTCGGCAAACTTGTTCATTGGGTCAAGACTTTTTGGCTGGTGCACAGTAGCCCAGAATTTTCTCACCACGTGGCGCTAGTAAACGTGTAAAATTCACGCGTATGCTATAGCTCGAGATTCTGAACAGGTAGAAAATTACTGTCTTCGAAAAAGTTGTTCATGAAGTCAATGTCTAATGCTTGATGCACAATAGTTCAGAATTTTCGCACTACGTGGCGTTAGTATACACGCGCAATTCTAGCATGTAAAATATCTCGGGATTCTGTTCAGATAGATTTCGCTAGTGGACAGTAATTCAAAATTTTTTCACTACGTAGCGCTAGAATACACGTGAAATTCTCGCATGTGGTTTGTTTCGAGATCCTGACCAGATAGAATGTTACTGTTTTCGGCAAAGTTGTTCAGGGAGTCAAGGCCTTTTAGCTGGTGGACAGAAATTCATTTTTTTTTTCACATCATTGCGCTTGTATATACGTGAAATTCTCGCATTAGACATATTTCGAGACCTGCTAAACTGTCATCGGCAAAGTTGTCTAGGAGATCAAAACTTTTTCGTTGGTCGACAGTACAGAATTTTCCCACCACGCGGCACTAGGATATACGTGAAATCTTCGCATATATAATATCTCAAGATCCTGAACATCTAGAAATTTACTGTATTTGGCAAAGCTGTTGAGGAGATAAAGATCTTTTGGCGGGCAATTCTCGCATATCAAATATCATAAAATAAAAATACAATTTACATCAGCCTAAGTGGGATAAGCCAAATATATTCTGGAATTCTTTTATTGGTGAAGATTTTCATGCAGATTTGTGGATACATAAATTGGGGTGAGTCGTTCCACTTGTATACCTCTGATAAATTAGTGGTAACACGAATCTCAGATGGACAACATTATCTTAAAAGATCAATATCGCTGAAACTTCCACCAAATGAATGTTTAGAGTCTCCCTTTCACACTAGCGCCGCATACCGAAAATATTATGAACTATTTACTGTTCACCAGCAAAAAAGCTTTGATCTCCTAAACAACTTTGCCGAAGACAGTAGTTTTCTAGCTGTTCGGGATCTCGAGCTGTAGCATATATGAGGATTGCACGTGTATACTGGCGCAGCGCAGTGAAAAAATTCTGAACTACTGTTCACCAGCCAAAAGACCTTGACCTCCTGAACAACTTTGCCGAGGACAGTAACTTTCTATTTGGTCAGGATCTCGAGATATTTTATGCGTGAAAATTTCACGTGTATACTAGCGCCGCGTAGTGAGAAAATTTAAAAAAATTGTGCACCAAAAATAGGCTATAACTTCCTGAACAACTTTGTTCAAGACAGTAACTTTCTATCTAGTCAGGAGAAAATTTTGAACAACTGTCCGCGAGCAAAAATTTTGTGATATCCTGAGCAACTTTACCGACAACAGTAATTTTCTATATGGTCAAGAACTTGAGATATTTAATATGCAAGAATTTTACATGTTTACTAGCACCACGAAGTGAGAAAATTCTGAACTACTGTCCACCAGCCAAAAGACCTTCACCTCCTGAACAACTATGCCGAAGACAATTACTTTCTTTCCGATCAGGATCTCAAGATATAGCATTTGCGAAAACTGTACATGTATACTAACGCCATGTGGTGAGAAAATTCTTAACTACTATTTACCAGCCAAAAAGTCTTAACCCCCAAATCAACTTTGCCGAAGACAGCAACTGTCTAGCTGATCAAGATCTCGAGCTATTGAATTTGCGAGAAAGGCACGTATCTACTAGCGCCGCATAGTGTGAGAAAATTCTGAACTATTGTCACTCAACAAAAAGATCTTGACTTCCTGAAAAACTGCCGAATACATTTACTTTCTATCTGGTCAGGATCTAAATATATTTTATATGCAAGAGTTTCACATGTATAGTAGCGGCGCAAAGTGAGAAAACTCTGAACTACTATCCACCTGCGAAAACACCTTAACCTCCTGAGCAACTATGCCGAAGACAGTACCTTTCTATCTCGTTGGGAACTCGAAATATTTTATATGAGAATTTCACGTATATACTAGCGTCGCATAGTGAGTGAATTCTAAACTATTGAGCACTAAGCAATAGGATTTGACCTCCTGAAAAACTTTGTGAAAGACAGTAACTTTCTATCTGGTCAGGATCTCGAGATATATCACATGCGAGAATTTCACATGTATACTAGCGCTACGTAGTGAGAAAATTCTGAACTACTGTCCGCCAGCGACAAGGCTATGAGCTCCTGAACAACTTTGTCGGAGACAGTATCTTTCTATCTGGTCAGGATCTCGATATATTCCATGTTGTAATCAATGAAGTCAAATCTCACGTTGTATGGCCACAGTTTACGTGGTTCCCATTTACATTTTCCATATTATCCACATTTTTAGGTGTTTACTGTAATCAATGTTTAGCTTGTTTAGATCAAAATAAGTTTTTTGAGGAATACTCGTTGGTTTCAGATCGATTGGTAACTCAGCAATAAAATGGCAATGGAAAACTCATGTGTGTTGAACAAAGTACAACAGCGCGAGTAACGGAGGGTTAACGGACGAACGTGAAGTGATTTAAAGGTGGAAGCAGCACTACGATGAACATCTGAACGGCGCAGAGGCGGAGGACCAAGGCGGCAGGAGGAATGGTTTCGTCGGTACATCGGATGAGGGGGACATGCCAGCTCCTACGATAGGTAAAGTTAAGGATGCTATCCGACAGCTTAAGAACAACAAAGCAGCTGGGAAAGCGGAACTTATCAAAATGGGCCCGGATAAGTTGGCCACTTGTCTGCACCGACTGATAGTCAGGATCTGGGATACAGAACAGCTACCGGAGGAGTGAAAAGAGGGAGTAATATGCCCAGTATATAAAAAAGGCGACAAACTAGAATGTGAGAACTATAGAGCGATCACCATTCTTAACGCGGCCTACAAAGTGCTTTCCCAGATCATCTTTCGCCGTTTATCGCCGCTAGCAAACAGATTTGTAGGAAGTTATCAAGCCGGTTTTGTGAACGGGCGATCGGGCAGATCCTCCAAAATTGTCGTGAATATCAAGTCCCTACGCACCACCTATTCATCGATTTCAAGGCCGCTTATGATACTATTGACCGGAAGATTCTGGACGAGAACGGTCTTCCCGGGAAGCTGACCAGACTGATCAGGGCTACGAGGGATGGTGTACAGTGCTGCGTGAAGATTTCGGGTGCGTTATCGGACACGTTTGAAACTCGCAAAGGACTTCGACAAGGCGATGGTCGTCTTTTCTGCCTCCAGTTCAAATTGCACTAGAAGGTGTTATGAAACTCGCGGGCTTTAACATGCGGGGTACGATCTTCAATAAGTCCAGCCAGTTCATCTGCTTCACTGACGACGTGGATACTGTCGGAAGAACGTTTCAGGCCTTGGCAGAGCAGTACACCAGGCTGAAACGTGAAGCAGAGAATATTGGGTTAAAGGTGAATACGTCGAAGACAAAGTATCTGTTAGCTGGAGGAACCGAGCGGGATAGGGCTCGCATAGGCAGAAGCGTGACAATCGACGGAGATGAGTTCGAGGTGGTGGATGAATTTGTGTACCTCGGATCATTGGTGACGTCGGATAACAACTGCAGCAGAGAAATTCGTCGGCGTATTATTGCCGGAAGTCGTGCTTACTACATACTCCACAAGACCATGAGGTCGGGTAAACTTCACCTCCGTACTAAATGTACCATGTACAAGACGCTGATAAGACCGGTAGTTCTTTACCGGCACGAGACGTGGACGATGCTCGAGCAGGACCTGCAAGCACTGGGTGTTTTCGAACGACGAGTGCTTAGGACCATCTTTGGCGGGGTATGTGAGAACGGTGTATGGAGGCGAAGGATGAACCACGAGCTGGTGCAACTCTATGGCGAACCCTGTATCCAGAAATTTGCTAAAGCAGGACGGGTACGATGGGTGGGACACGTTTTAAGAATGCCGGACAACAATCCCGCAAAAATGGTGTTTGCCTCGAATCCGGCCGGTACAAGACGAAGAGGAGTACAGCGAGCAAGGTGGTTAGACCAAGTGGAGCTGGATCTTGGAAGTGTGGGACGGTCAAGAAATTGAAGACAAGCAGCCACGGACCGAGTGAATTGGCGTAACATTGTGATGCAGGTGCAATCCTGAGGGATGTCGGACCAGGATAAGTAAGTAAGTAAGCCTCTAGTGGCGTTGTTCTCCATTAAACCTGAATCCAATTACACAGGCTTGTTGGTATATTGCAGTACAACAACTTTGTCGAAGACAGTTATAGCTCTATGTATTGAAACAAAAAAGATAATCAACTACAGCCCCTATTAGTGAAAATCCCATAGGCTGTGGGTGTCCGTCCTTATTCGCGGTTAGCCCGGCAATAAGGATTTCTGACTGTGGGTCATGGATAATGTTATTCAAAAAGCTACTTCCTCCCCGACGGGGAATTGAACCCCGGTCTCCCGCGTGACAGGCGGGGATACTGACCACTATACTATCGAGGATCTGTTGTATTAGGAACCGAAGTTGTCCATCAATAATTCGATTATTGTTAGCAATACATTGTTTCCTCAATCAAACGTGATAGCAATGCGATGATTCAAGCACAGTGATGTTTTTGTTGGTATTTTGAATAAAAACAAATTCAACGAATCGATTTCAGATAGATGATCCAATTCTGTCTGTTATTATTAGTCTAAGAGTAAATTAGCTTAATAGCAAGTTTTAATTTGTATGCACCATCACATCACGCATTTTAAGAATAAGGAATTTATTTCAAGGTTTTTCTCAAAGTACAACTTATGCAAAGAATTACCAATATTCAGAATGACGAATGACTATAATAAATACTGTGAGATTATTGATGTAATGCCGCGGATACACTTGGATGACAAACTATCAGCATGAGCATTATTAGTATAATAATTATGAGCACTATACCTCAACTATACAAAAACTATACAAGTGTGACCATGGATGGGCTCATAATTTACTATACAAATAACGCTCATGCTCATGGTTTGTCGTACACGTGAATCCGCGGCATAACTTTGCCTAAAGATACATAATGAAACATATTGACAGCAAGAGTTTTATCCAATAGAGGTTAGGACAAATTATTGTAAACGTAATTATATATGTAGTCCATAATGATTGTCGAAATAAATAAATATATAGCTCTGATTACAACACTCATCGGCCTTCGTGGCGCAACTGGTTAGCGCGTTCGGCTGTTAACCGAAAGGTTGGTGGTTCGAGTCCACCCGGGGGCGGAATATTTTTTGGATGTTAATGTAATCAAAAAATTATTTACATAAAGCTATCATCATCCTCATCGTTCTTGTGTCTAACCGCCAATTTTCTTTTCAGTCCACGCTACCTGGGTGATTCCTTCAAACTAATAGCGAACATTACCTGCTCATCGGGAACGACCGGTCTACCGAAGGGCGTTTGCAACTCCCATGCTCAAACGATTTCCTGCTTCTGCAAAGTAGCGTAAGCCTCTGCCCATATTCCTCCTTACAATTCAATCACTCATGCTCTTCCGTTGCAGAAACTTTGACGAAGGAATTTGCGTCAACTTCAGCACCCTCTACTGGGGTACCGGCGTCTACGTACTGAACATGTCAGTCATGAACAATTCAACCCGGCTCATCACGCGACGACCCTTTTCGGTGGATCTGTTCTACGATCTGATCGGAAAGTACAAAATCAAGTTCCTCTACACTCCGGCATCGTACGCGCTGGGCATCACCAGTGATCTCCGGGCCAAGCATACCGACCTTTCCAGTATTAAATTTTGGGCACTGGGGGCGTCGCACGTTTCGGAGAGCATCCGGGATGCGGTGGATGAGCTACTTAAGCCGACCGGTGGTCGATCGTACAATTTCTACGGGACTTCGGAAAGTGGGTTTGTGGCGGCTGATTTCTTGAAGAGGAAACCGAATGCTATTGGGAAGATTGCAACGAACATGCAGGTGCGGATACTGGATGAGAACGGACAACCGCTGCAGGTGGGCGAACATGGTGAGCTGGTGGTGAAGTCAGTTGGAATACCCTTTCTGGTGAGTTTGTGAATATTGTTTGATGGTGAGGGACGTCGAATTATTATGTCGTTTTATTTTTGCAGGGTTACTACAAGAACGAAGAAGCGTCTCGACAGGCACTCGACAAGGAAGGATGGTTCCGCACCGGGGACATTGGATTCATTGACGAGGAAGGATATCTGTATTTGGTAGATCGAAAGAAGGACATCCTGAAGTACATGGGCAATCAGGTGTCGCCATCGGAGGTGGAAGCGATCATTCAGCAGATGGATGGAGTGGAGCAGGTTTGCGTGACTGGAGTGCCGAATGAATCTGGGACGTCGGATCTAGTAACGGCAGTGCTGGTTAAACGTTTAAACTCGCCGTTGAAGGCCGAAGATGTGATTGAACGAGTGGCGAATCACCTGAGTGATCCGAAGCATTTACGAGGAGGAGTGTTCTTCGTGGAACGACTTCCAATGACATCGAACGGAAAAGTCGTGAGAAGAATGGTACGGGATATGCTTCTGCAAGGGATTATTAAAAAGTAATAAACTGTAACTAAAATACAAAGAAGTTAATTTTTGCTGCCTTAGTTGTATCACAGCAACACTCACCATCACAGCTATAGTCGAAAATAATAAAATAAAAATGCAAAAGTGCTTGCAGTTACTCAGTCAAATATATCATTCCATCAGTAAATTTCGCCTAGATTCCAGTCCCGACAGCGTAAGCTCGCTGAAAAACACGGAAAAGTCATCCCAAGTTAGCGCTGCACTGAGTGGATGAAAAACCCGAGCATAATAAATTGAGCAAACATACCAGATGAGTTATTAAACTTTCTCTGATGAATAATTTAGCACTTGAGCAATGTGAAAAGTTAGAAGTTATTTTCCCTCGCGTTGTCCTGTCATCTAGAATCATCGTCGTCGTCGGCGTCCTCATCGCGGTGCTTTTGCAACAGTAGATAGTGGTGGTGCAACTTTCCATTTTTATCCCAGCACCCTCTTCTCAACCCCCCTCTCCATCCCCCCCCCCCTCTAGCATAGTTTTCGTTTCACTTTCTGGACCAACAGTGTCTACCGTTCTGTTCTGCTTCGGCACCACCACCATATTTCCCGGAAATCCTTGCTGCTGCCATTTCCTGGCTTTCTTCGGCTTTCGGCTGGCGATATACCTACATAAAGTGTTACTTGCCAACCGAGAACAGCTGGGTCCTGTCCCATCCAACTTTGCAGATCCGCAGTGGCACTCTATAGCTCTATAGCTGCTCGGTTTTGGACTAGGTAGGATAAATTTTGTGAAAAATGCATTTCGCGCTGTGTGAAATATAAATTTAAATATTTTGTTATATCAATCATTGTTGATGATTCTTTGTCGTCGTTGCTGGGATTTTTCGATTCGGTGAGTCGGTACCTGGTCTGGCCGTGGCGTGCTCGTGCTTATGACAGACCGTTTGTGGAACGAAGTGGAAAAGTGGCACTCTGGTTTGGTCTTTTTATGGCTTCCGGGTTTGAAGGACTTTTCGCAGTTTAATTTTTTGTTTTGTTTTTAAATGACACCATCGAGATTGATTTATTGTATCGTCTGAATTTGCCTTTCATAATGGGACCTGGAGTAACCGTTTGGGTGAACGCTTTTTAAGCTGGATTCTGGAAATTGCTATTGAAGCAAGGCAAATGTTTGGAGAAAGAGAGAAGAGCGATTCTCTCCGAATCCGGCCACTTCTTGTTCGAGGCTCTTGAAAACCATTTCTTTCGTACATATTCGATAGCTCTTGTAATGAACATCGAATAATCGTTACACAGTATTTTGAATCGATGGACCCCTCGTTAACAAGCGATAGCATTATCTTTTTGCATATTCTATGTGGTGTACATCACGCCTGGGGAAGCAAAGCCGTTGATCCCAGGTTCATGAGTTGTATTGTGTCATAGGTAGCATTGATACTCAGTACTGAAAAAGAGATCGACGGAAAGCAAATCAAGAAAAACGTCTCTTTGATTTTCACTTATTAACCTAGCATAAACAAAAATGATTTCAATAACCAACAGATGATCATAGGTCTCCATGAAGTGCTCAGGTTTTTTTGTTCAGACCAAGGTTAATTTGGTATAGTTTTGAAGATTTTTATAAGTTGTCAGACTTCCCTGCACGGCCATACTCATAAATAATATAAAGTGCAGGAACTTTGCGATGAGTAAATTTGCCTCATATTTTTCCAGGTTTGCTCAGGAAAAAATCCCGAATATGAGAAAAGTAAAGATTAGATTCACTCAGTCTATTAGTTTTACTCTTTACTTACTTACTTAACGATCCTGCGCACCTCCAGGGGTGCAAAGGGCCTTTGTGAAAGATTTCCATCCTGGGCGATTACTAGCTTTGGCCTTGATCTGTGCCCAAGTCAAATTTCGGTCAACGTTCTTAATTCCACTGTTTAGGCTCCGCCGCCACGAGCCTCTGGGTCTGCCTCTGCTGCGATGTCCTGGTGGATTCCAGTCCAGTGCTTGCTTGCAGATTTCGTTTCCGCTCCGTCGTAGGGTGTGGCCGACCCACCTCCACTTCCGTTCCGACGCTTCTGATGGCACAAACGATGAAGCTCGGAATTTGAGATCCAATTGTGGGACCACCAGGCACGAATTACGTACCGCAGGCATCGGTTGATAAACACCTGCAGCTTCTGAGTGTTCTCCGCTGATACACACCATGTTTCACTGGCGTATAACAGCACAGACTTCACGTTCGAGGTAAAAATTCGGATTTTGGTGCGACGACTAATCTGATTCGCTCACCATACATTTCGCAAACTGGCAAAAGCAGTCCTCGCCTACTTAATCCGTGCACCTATGTCGCTCTTGGTGCTGCCGTCCGACGCTATCTGGCCGCCAAGATATTGGAAGCTTTCGACTTTCTCCACTGCCTGCCCAGCTACCGTGAAATTGGAACGGTTTTCCGTGTTGACATCCAACGATTTGGTCTTGTTGACGTTGATGGTTAGACCTGCTTCAGAGGAGCGTTTCACATGGTCGTCGAGCTTACTCTGCATGTCAGAGCGCCGTTGTGCTAATAACGCAAAATCATCAGCCAAATCGAAGTCGTTGAAATGCTCCATGGTAATAGGCTGCCACAGCAACCCACGGTTCGGTACAAGGTCAACGGCTCCAACCATGATCTCGTCGATTACGATGAGGAACAGTAGCGGTGATAATATACATCCTTGCCTCACACCCGCGATTACCCGAATCGGGTCAGACAAAGCTCCGTAGTGCAACACTATGCATGAGAAAGCCTCGTACTGCGCTTCGATGAGCTTGACGATCTTATCAGGGACTCCCTTGCGTCTCAGAGTGCCCCACAAGTTTTCGTGGTTTGGTCGGTCGAAAGCTTTTTCGTAGTCAATGAATACCAAGAACAGGGACTCTTGGAACTCATTGACCTGCTCCAAGATGATGCGGAGCGTGGCAATATGGTCCACACAGGATCTTCCAGCACGGAATCCTGCCTGCTGTCGTCGGAGAGTCGCGTCGATCTTCTCCTGTATCCGATTGAGGATAACTTTATACAGAACTTTGAGAACAATACACAGTAACATGATGCCTCGCCAGTTGTCGCATACAGTTGGATCCCCCTTCTTGAGGATTTTTACCAAGACGCCATGCATCCAGTCGGCCGGAAAAGCCGCGGTGTCCCAGATATTGACGAATAGTTGATGCAAAATTTGTGATGATTGCATGGGGTCAGCTTTGAGCATCTCTGCTGATATGTGACCGACCCCCGCGGCTTTGTTAGACTTCATACTTCGGATGGCTGCTTCTATCTCCTGCAATGATGGAGCTTCAGTGTTGACGCGAGTAACGCACCCTTGGCGAATCATGCCGAGATGTTGATGGTTGGTTGACCGTTGAAACTTCGAGAAGTTGTTCAAAGTGCTCAAACCAACGTTTCAACTGGTCAGTGGGGTCGGTGAGCAACTGTCCAGTCGCGTCTTACACAGGCATCGTTGGGTTCATCCTTGCCCCGCTCAGGCGTCGTGAAACATCATAGAGGAGGTGGATATCACCAGTTGCTGCGGCTTCTCCCCTTCATCAGCCAGGGAGTCCACCAACGCTCGCTTGTCCCGTATACAGGAGCGCTTAACTTCCCTCTCTAGAGCCGTTTACCGCTGACGGGCCTCGTTCTTGGCTCCTCGGGTCCTTGCTTGCTCTATCGCGGCTTTTGCTTCTCTCCGCTCCTCGATCTTCCTCCAGGTTTCATCGGTGATCCACTCCATCCTCTGAGTGCGCAGCTCACCCAGGTTGTTCTCGCTTGTTTCAATAAAGGCATTACTGATGCTCGTTCACTGTTCTTCTACGCTGCTACCTTCCGGAATATTAGCTGCGCGAGCCTCGAGTTCTTCGACGAACGATCTCTTCACTGCTGGGTCTTCCAGTTGGCGGGAGTTGAATCGCCGCCAAGAAGGCTCCGTCCCCATTTTCGGCTGATGCAGATGTGGTCGATTTGGTTCTCTGTATATCCATCACGGGAGACCCATGTGACTTTATGCCCTGGGCGATGGGGGAAGAGCGAACCCCCGATCACCATGTCGTTGTTGCCACAAAACTCTGCAAGCAGCTCGCCGTTCTCGCTCATATCTCCGAAACCATTGCGTCCCATAATGCGCTTATAGTCCGAGTGGTAGGAGCCGATCTTCACATTGAAGTCGCCTGTGTAGATCTCGATATCACCTCTTGGAGTCTTATCCACGACAGCATTCAGTTGACTGTAAAAGTTCTCTTTGTCCTGCAATTCGGCAGCATCGGTTGGCGCATAACATTGGATTATTGTAAGATTTCGGACCCGTGTTCTGAATCTGGCAATGATTATTTTCTCATTGATAGCTTCCCACTTGATGAGCGCAGCCTGTGCTTGGGCGCTAAGCAGAAAGCCAATTCCACGATGTCGCGGAGCGTTTTCACCTCGCATACCAGAATATAAAAGTACCTGTCCCGAAGGCAGCTTGTGTTCTCCAAAGTTCAGCCAGCGGACTTCACTAAGTCCCAGGATTTCTAGCTTCATACGGCGGGCCTCACTGGCGAGTTGTGCCAGTTTACCCTGTTGGGCTAGCGTCAGTACATTCCATGTTCCAATTCTTGTCCGTTGTTTAGCGCTAAAAGTCGTTGCCATAAAATCAGTTCGTAATCTTTCACTACAGGTTTCTGTAACAATTTGAAGGTTTCGGAGACAGTAGGTAGGTCTCCTATCCGCCGTGATGGGACTGCCATCTTGGGTATAGCTTTCGGGGAGAAGCATTTCGTATTCAGCCGCTGGATGCCAGTCAGACGCTGTTTGAGCCGCCCCTAACATGGTGAACAGACGCTCGGGTTTTGTAACCTCCGAAAAGGATGCAGCTTCTCCTTTCCTGACAGCATACGACTAAAGTTCCCACCGGGGTTGGTTACCCGATCTTCCCTAAGGTTACTCGTACCCCAGCCTGCGCCGCGGGGAGGAAGGGATAGGAGCTACTGGGCAAGAGGCTAAGGACCGCTTTCACTTGCGTGACGGGTCTATTTTATAACCTTTAAGTACGCGAA